CCCCGTTATTCCCCACACAGGACGATCCTGCAGTGAGAAGCGATCACGGCCAGGATTTTGCCCTAGCTGTGGCAGAATTTATCTTGTTGCTCCCCTCATCTTCCAGAGTACCCTGCGGCTCTCACCTATGTACACAGCGGTGTCCCCCCGACTTTCGGGCTTATGATGGATTGGGGCCTGTAGGTGGGCTCAGCCGGATGCTGCACGGAGAGATCGGCAGGGACTGCCTGCGCCTCCGATCGCCCAATTCGGGTCGCTTGTGAAAATGTGGCGCCTCTAAACAAAAGGCTCCACTCTGCCGCCACCGAGGCCGCGTACTGCGCATGCGCGCCGCCGCGGAGCATCACGGGAACCTGAGCTCCGATCCCGCGGCGTTTGCAGGGACTGCATGGAGCCGGTGGTACGGGGCTGTATGGCGGGGGAAGACCGAGGAAGAAAAGCTAATGCCGAGCCGAGGAGTGCCGAGTACCAGAGAGTGTTATTACTAAACACCCTTCTCATGTAGTGCTGTGAGCTACAATACAAACTACAACTCCCAGAAGCACCCACTCACCCCGGAAGTGATCAGCGGGGAAACAGCTGAGGAGGGAGCCTGTGTTATTCTCCTGTATACAGATGACATTCTGCGGAGACCTGGTAATGATGGGGAGCGTCGTATCTGTATGATGACCGTATATCTGTGAAGAGGCTGGGTGGTGAAAAGAAGCCCTCATATCTGTGTGAAGGAGGCTGGGTGGTTGTATATCGTTGTGAAGGAGGCTAGGTGGTTGTATATCTATGTGGAGGAGACTGGGTGGTGATGGGAGGCTGTATATCTATGTGGAGGAGGCTGGGTGGTGATGGGAGGCTGTATATCTGTGTGAAGGAGGCTGGTTAATGATGGGAGGCTGTATATCTGTGTGAAGGAGGCTGGGTGGTGATGGGAGGCTGTATATCTGTGTGAAGGAGGCTGGGTGGTGATGGGAGGCTGTATATCTGTGTGAAGGAGGCTGGGTGGTGATGGGAGGCTGTATATCTGTGTGAAGGAGGCTGGGTGGTGATGGGAGGCTGTATATCTGTGTGAAGGAGGCTGGGTGGTGATGGGAGGCTGTATATCTGTGTGAAGGAGGCTGGGTGGTGATGGGAGGCTGTATATCTGTGTGAAGGAGGCTGGGTGGTGATGGGAGGCTGTATATCTGTGTGAAGGAGGCTGGGTGGTGATGGGAGGCTGTATATCTGTGTGAAGGAGGCTGGGTGGTGATGGGAGGCTGTATATCTGTGTGAAGGAGGCTGGGTGGTGATGGGAGGCTGTATATCTGTGTGAAGGAGGCTGGGTGGTGATGGGAGGCTGTATATCTGTGTGAAGGAGGCTGGGTGGTGATGGGAGGCTGTATATCTGTGTGAAGGAGGCTGGGTGGTGATGGGAGGCTGTATATCTGTGTGAAGGAGGCTGGGTGGTGATGGGAGGCTGTATATCTGTGTGAAGGAGGCTGGGTGGTGATGGGAGGCTGTATATCTGTGTGAAGGAGGCTGGGTGGTGATGGGAGGCTGTATATCTGTGTGAAGGAGGCTGGGTGGTGATGGGAGGCTGTATATCTGTGTGAAGGAGGCTGGGTGGTGATGGGAGGCTGTATATCTGTGTGAAGGAGGCTGGTTGGTGATGGGAGGCTGTATATCTGTGTGAAGGAGGCTGAGTGGTGATGGGAAGTGACATATCTCTATGATGGAGGCTGGGTGGTAAGAGAAGGTTGTTTCTCTGCATGATGTGTGGTGAAGGGAGGCCACGTATTAGTATGGGTGCTTTCTGGTGAGATATTAGCTGGGCACATAAAGGGAATGTCTTCCTCGGCACTCTGTAAAGGATCTCATTAGTACTTTGGAGAGGAGTGGACACCATGACATAAGCAGTGAGTGTGGGCAAGGTGATGATTGCCCCTGCATTGGATTCAATATGGAGACCTTTAGAGGATCCTGGCATTGGTCTGTATGGTGGTAAGACATGGATAAGATTGTCTGTCTGTCTGTCTTTCCTGTTCTTATATTAAGGTATTTTGTGGTATGGGGGTGCTGGTTTATACCCCCGATTCTTCCTGGAGGTGGGGGTATAACTTATAAGGAGGTTTGTGGTTTTATGATCCATACGCAACCTTTTTTCTTCCCTCCTTTTATCTATATCTAAGGTTGATTAACCACTTCCCCTCCCCCCACTTCTGTAATGCTCTGGTCTCACTTTCTTGCTGTGCAGAGCTAGCGGCTACATTTGGAATCAAAATGATCCAACCAACATTGCAAATCAAGTTTGTGGCAAAATGTACAGACTTTACAATGAACCAATCAAACAAAAGCAATTGAAATAGGTCAACACAACGAAGGTTTCAAGTGGTCCCTGCTATGCCTGATGAAGGGACCCTTGTGTGGCCCCTGAAAGCGCTTGTGTAACTGACATGAGTGTGCAATAAATGTACGAACTTTGATCCTGTAAGGATTTGGTGTGCTGGTGACGTTTCTGCAATTATCAGATGCATAGCCAGACACCAGCTTCTGGCGGCGTTCCTGAACAATCTTAGCCCATTCCTCATGAGCAATGGCCTCCAGTTCCCTAATATTCTTGGCTTTGCGTACTGCAACCGCCGCCTTCAAATCCCACCACAGATTTTCTATGGGGTTCAAGTCGGTGGCCACTGTAGCATCTTCCAGGACGACTTCTGCAAGCAAGCCTTGGTGGAATTTGAGGTATGCTTGGGATCATTGTCCTGTTGGAAGGACTTCTCAGCTTCCTCACAGAAGGTATGATGTTTTCTCTCAGGATTTCCTGATAGTACAATGAATCCATCTTGCCTTCCGCACGCTGCAGGTTTCCAGTGCCAGAGGATACAAAGCAGCCCCAGAGAATCACCAAGCCACCACCATACTTAAAGGAGAATTATGAGGCGAGTGATTTTCACTCGGCCTCATAATCTGAGCCGACCTGTGACAATGAGACTGTCACAGGTCGGCTCAGGAGATCGGGAAGTGAGCGAACACATACCGGCGTTCGCTCACCTCTCGATCCTGTCACGGCTCTCTGCTGTGACAGGGGGAGGGGCTGGATTCCGCCCTCCACACTCCGATCCTCCAGCGCTGACTGGCGGAACGGATGAGGGAGGGGGCGGGTACAGCTGGCTCTGCCTCTAGATAGGCAGAGTCAGCTGTCACTCACGCAGCTGGGTGGATCCAGACATAATTGTCGCGATCGTTCCGGCTACGGCGTCTCAGCATACCGCGAGCTGTAGCTCGCGGTATACTGAGCTTAGGGTGACGGGAGGACGCTAGTTTGTGTCCTCCCGTTACCCCAAGGAGAACTATGGGGAAAGGCCCCAACCCCCTCTTTTTAACTATAGGCAAAGTGTTCTTTGCAGTATATGCTTCATTCTTCTTGCTCCAGGCATACTGCTGATCCATAGGGCCGGAAAGTTCCAGTTTTGTTTCATCGCTTCCCACAACAGAATCCTAACACTTCTGTGGCCGGTTTATATGATTTTGAGCATATTATAGCCGACTTTTCTTCTGTTTTTGGGCCAGTAGTGGTGTATGTGTTTGAGTTCCGATATAGAAACCTTCTGCGTTTAGTACTCACCTTACAGTGCAAACTGAAACCTCAGTGCCTGTTGCCACCAAGTCTTGCTGAAGGTCTTTCGCAGTCACTCGAAGGGTTTTTCTCAACCTGCCTTCTCAGAAATCTGGTTGCAGCCGTTGACGGCTTCCTTTATCTGCCCTGTCCTGGTAGTGTGTCCATTGTTCCTTTCACTTTAAACTTGTGAGCTATGCTTCCAGCGATGTCTCTTGGAACATTCTGTGCCTTCGCTATCTTTTTATATCCTGCTCCTTGTTTGTGAAGGGCGATGATCTTTTCTTTTAACTTTTTTGACCATTCTTTTGACCTAGCCATATTTTTACTGTGCAGTCAATCATGACACTCAACAAACTCCTAAGGCCTCATTCACACAAGAAAAAGCCGGTACGTACAGCTCCGTGCTGCGTGCGTGGCCGCATCGGGCAGCTCCCGGGAAGGAGAGGTGCTGCGTGTGATTAGTACACAGCCCCTGTCCTTCTCTATGGGAGTACGCAGCCGTACGCTGCCCTACGCACACCCCAAGTGCAGGTCCGTACGGGTGCTGGTGTCCCAGCTCGGACGCAGACATGATTCATCCTGTTGGCGTACGAGTACGGACACCCGCACGGACACGTATGGTCGTGTACTCCCATAGATAAGGACAGGGGCTGCGAACTCATCACACGCAGCACCTCTCCTTCCCGGGAGCTGCCCGATACGGCCGTGCATGGAGCTGTACGTGCCGGCCTTTTCTCGTGTGAATGAGGCCTAAATATTTCAGATATTTTGTGCTTTCTAGCTCAAACGCACCTGGTGCACCTAATGAAGCCCTTGAGTAGTTCCATCCGGTGTGCTTGAGACAACACCTCTTTTGTGAGGTAAATATTCAGGGGGGTTAAATCATTTTGAGACTGAAGAAGTCATTAAAAGTTGCATTTTCGGTTCAATTTGGCGAAATCACTTGAAACATTCGTTGGGTTGACCTATTCCAATTGCTTTTGTTTGATTGTTTCAGGTGTTCCAACAACTGAAAGTCTCTAAATTTTGCTAATAAACCTGATTTGCAATGAAGGTTGAATACTTTTGATTAGAGCTGTATAGCACAACTACAGCTGCCACTGTCACCTCTCCTTGTCCCCACTATTCATACCTTTACGCCGGAGGCACTAGCCCCCCCAATACCTGCCCGCCATCCAGTGTATGGTCTGCACTGAAGCCCCACAGTCAGTATTAGGCATGATGCCCGCAAATGGCTAACTGGTCAGCACAGTCACCTGACCATGTTGACCAATGAGAAGCACTTCTTATTTCCGGGACCTGTGCAAAAAAATATGAGATTGTTTTGGTAATTAAGTTGTTAATTTAGAATATGGGTTTTAGTGAGGGAGTCGTATTAGTGCTGCCGGCTTAGAACGGGAATCTAGAAGAGTATGGATCCGTGAGGAAGATTTCGGGGGGTTTATTAAATAGTGGGACTTTGCTATAGTCTCTGGAGCTCATCGTACTTCTCAGGTGAGTTCACATTCACCTGGGTGTGTCTGCTCCATGGGTGAATGGTCTTTCTGATTGAACCGGCAGGAATGTTACGGTTCTAATGTTCCTTTCTGTCACAGAAGCCTTCCTTTCCCATGATGGTTTCCCCTGATTAGGCTTTCCATATCCAGTGTACTCAGAGGGATGAATACGCTGAAATTCTATGCCTTCATCTGTGTAAGACCAATTATTCTAATTGTTGATTTAAAGCAAATCTAAACCCAAAAGCAAAAATGTCATATATTACAGCTTACCAATTTATACATCTGGTAAACACATTTGTTTTATTTTTTTTAGGCACCTTTTATTGTCACCTCGTGAGCCGGCCAGGAAGTCTGTTATTTTTCAACTTCCTTTAACATGCCTAGCTGTCCTGTAAAAGTGACAGAGGATGGGAAAACCATTTTAGGGCTGCAACAACTAATCGATTATAATCGATGATTGAAAAAGTTGACAACTTTTTCAATCATCGATTAATCGGCTTCAGATTGGTCGGCCCTGTTCATGGCTCCACACACGCTGCGCGCCACACCTCCTCCCCACCTCACGCTCACCGCCCGCCCAAATCCACGATCGGTACAGGGACGCGGGGGAGAAGGCAGAATACCGCCAGCTATAATGTACAATTGCTGGAATTTGTTGTATTCATCTATAGCTGGTGGTATTCTGCATTGCGTTGTATAATGTACTATTGCTGGGTTTTGTAGTCCTCTATAGCCGGTGCCATTCTGCATTCTGCATTTATTGCTGTATAATTTTACACTTTTCATTTCACTATATTGCACACTACACATTTTTATTCCTTTTTTACTTCCACCGCTCCAAGCTTGCTCCTTTGATGGACTACAATCTCAATATAAACTACTGTAGTAGTCCCATCACTGGAGCCATTTTTTAAAATGTATTTTATTTTTTAATCCGATTAATGGAATTTAATAATCGGCTAACTAATCGATTTTGAAAATAATTGTTAGCTGCAGCTCTAAACCATTTAACACTGACAGGGGTGCTTACAGTGGTCAGCTTTTATTCCTTTATGTAAAAACCTTATTCCAAAAGAAACTGTAACTCAGGGCTTGTTCACGCCATGTCCAGACCAGAACAGTTTGTTACCGGACCAAGAAAGCATCTCTATGTATCCCTATGGTATTTCTGGGCTCTGTTCACACCAGCGCAGTCCGTTAGTCACATCATATTGTGTATTCACTCTATATTCAAAGGTTTATTGTAAAACAAGGATGCTATATACAAGTCTAAAGCTGCCCATACACCTTACAACCATTGCACGACTTTCGTTGTGCGATGGTTGTAAGTAGGGATGTCCTGATACCGATGCTAGCATCGATATCGGGACCGATGCAAGGCATTTTCACAAGTACTTGTGAAAATGCCCCGGTACATAACGCCGATGCTTGCGTATCGCCCGCGTATCCGGGCAAGCGAGAGCAGGGGTGTGGATCTGTGACGGCGGGGTTGGCGTGGAGCGCTGAGAGCAGGGGGCGTGGAGCTGTGACAGAGAAGCAGGGGGCGTGGAGCAGTGACGGAGCTGAACAAGTGGAGCTGTGACAGGCTCTGTCACCTCCCTCAGC